GGACATGGTGCAGGGCTGCACAATCTTTAGCAAGATCAATCTCAAATCTGGCTACCACCAGATTGAGATGGCTGAAGGCGATGTCCATAAGACTGCCTTCAAGACAAGATACGACACTTATGAGTACCTGGTCATGCCTTTCGGTCTTTGCAATGCCCCTGGCACATTCCAGACAGAGATGCATCGCATACTCGGGCCTTACCTGGACAGGTTTGTAGTTGTATACTTGGATGATATCCTGGTATTCAGTCGATCTGTCGAGGAGCATGCGCAACATCTGGCTCTGGTTCTCCAGGCACTACATGAGGCCTAGTATAAGATCAACAGGGAAAAGTCCTCCTTTGGAGTGACTTCTGTGACTTATCTGGGACATGTAATCTTTGGTGAAGGGCTGGCTCCTGAAGCAACAAAGGTTGCTGCGATTCAGGAATGGCCACAACCTACCACAGTGCGTGATGTCCGCGGTCATTCTTGGACCTTGCATCATACTACAGAAAGTTCGTTAAGAACTTTTCTGCTATTGCTGCACCCCTGGCTGACCTTACAAAGAAAGACGCCCACTTTCTTTGGACATCAGATTGTCAGCAGGCTTTCACATGCCTTAAGGAGGCCTTGATGCTAGCACCTGTTCTGAAGTTACCTGACCCTACCCTGCCCTTCGTACTAACCACTGATGCTAGCCAGTATGGGGTTGGGGCGGTACTTCAGCAGGATGGTGGACATGGTATGCAGCCAGTTGAGTACATGAGTAAGAAGATCAAAGTCAAGAAGCTGCAGGATTCTACGTACGAGAAAGAGCTATATGCTCTAGTGTCAGCGCTAAAGCATTGGAAGCATTTCCTCATGGGTAGACACTTCCAGATCTATTCAGATCATTCCACCTTACAGTGGATGAAGACCTAAGAATGACAAGCTCGCGCGCTATATTCAGTTCATTGATCTCTTTGACTTTGAACTGAAACACAAAAAGGGCTGCTACAACCGCGCGGCAAACGCCCTTTCTTGTAGGCCTGACGCTCTCTGCATGATCTCCTCCACTCATACCTTTGGGGAGAGTACCCGTCAGACCATTGCCCAACGATTGCCACAAGACCCGACTTTTGGCCCGATCGTTAGGAATCTGCAGACTGATCCTGCCTCTGAACCAGGATATATTCTGGTCTCAGGTCTGCTGTACACTTGCATCAGAGGAGAGGAGCGTCTATGTATCCCTCAGGACCGCCAACTGAGAACACTAATGATGTCTGAGTGTCATGATGCTCGCGGCCACTTTGGGGCCTTAAAGTCGTTGGCTGCCCTGTCGCAGCGGTTCTTCTGGCCAGAGATGAGGAAAGACCTGTTGCATTATGTTGAAACCTGTGAGTTGTGTCAAAGGAACAAGGTTGTTCGCCGGCCTCCCCTTGGCCTGCTACAGCCACTTCCCATCCCTGATGCACCCGCACAATCAGTATCCATTGATTTTACTGATCTGGGGTGGACTACTCCTCGTGGTATGCATCAGGTTATGGTGTGTGTTGACAGGTTTTCTAAATATGCAGAGTTTCTTCCTCTGCCAGAGGAAGCCAAAGTTCTGGCCGTGCAGGCGGCCTTTGCAGACAGGTGGGTTACTCACCATGGACCACCCACCTCTATTGATAGTAATAGAGATCCGCGGTTCTGCAGCAATGAATGGCAATCCTATTGCAAGGACTACCTTCATTCCAGACTGGATAGGACATCTGGTCGTCATCCTGAAGCCGATCGGATTCTTTTCCAATTGCTGCGTCCTGTGATCAGCCCTGATCAGCAGGATTGGGATCTCCATCTAGGACGGGCGCAGCTAGTGTACAACACGTCTGTACACTCCTCCACAGGGTTCACCCCTTATCGATTGTACTGGAGTCGTGAGCCACGACAGCCTCTCGATGACATCATCAATAAGGCTACGCCCAGATTGACTCCTGGGACTGCAGAGTTCACCAGACAGTACCAGAGGGATATCGAACAAGCCAGAGTTAACCTGCTCAAAGCCCAAAAGGCTATGATCCAGCAGGCTAACAAGCATCATCGACTTTCCCCTATCCGCGCTGGTGACTGGGTCTGGGTACTCAGTTCTGAGTTATCGCGGGAGGAGGACATTTCACCCAAGCTGTTGCCACGTTACATGGGTCCATGGCAGGTTTTAGACACAGTGGGAGCTGACCCGTTCGGGCCATCTTCTCATGTGGATGTCCCACTCCATCTACAAACCTACCCTGTCTTTCATGCATCCAAGTTGTTGCCATTTGTCCCAGCTGATGCATTTCCAGACAGGCCTCCTCAATTTGGTCCCCCAATCCCTGGGAAGGGATATGAGGTGGAAAAAGTTGAGGATGAGTATGGTACAGGCCCGATAAGGAGTACCTTGTGAAGTTTCTCTACCAGCCCCATACTGAGGATCGCTGGTTTACTCGCAAGGAGCTTCTGAAAACAGCAAAGTCTGTTATCCTCAAATATGAGGCTGCGCAGAAGGGAGAACCCCTTCGACGCTCTTCACGCCTACGCCTCTAGCTCGGAGGTCCTCGCTCCGGGCGAGGGTAGGTCTGCAATGACTTGCTGGTTCCAGGTTGCCTGTAGCCTCACTTTGACGAGGCTGTACCATGGTTAGGGACAGATTCGTAATTTTGTTTGGCTGAGGACTAACCGAGAGACCTGCCTGTATAGAAAAGTCGTGAGTGACATATCTCTAAATATAGAAATATGGGCCCAGTACTAACTCGATTTTCCTACAGCTACCCTAACTGCGAATAGCGGACCCGGGCTACCCCTAGGACAGACGGGCCCTATGGGCCTACGCTGATAGACGGTCCTATAGCCTATAGCCGGGTAGGGAGAGGCCCTAGAGGCCGAAACAGAAACGGTACCGGTCGGTCAGTCAGTCTGGTCTAGGTCGGTCTAGGCTAGTAGTAGAGTATAGATAGGATGGGGACATCGGTCCTGGGTTTTTGGCAGTTGACACTTCATGGTGGAAGTTGCTGCGCACACGGTATCAGGTCGTGGTTGCTGATTCCCGTGGTGGAGACGGCGGACATAGCCAGACCTTCGGAGCGCTGACCAGACTGGGGTCAACGCTGTCCGCTCTGACTCTCTGGGAGTCAAAGCGGTCTGGGCTATCAGAGGTCTGATGCGTTGGAGCACGTGGTGCACTGCTGACCCTCCTCAGGAGTAGGGTCCCAGTGGCGATTCAGCCCTAGCTGCGTCTTCTCACAGATATCATCGTCTGGACTTCATCTTCATCAGGGACTGTTGGCGCTGAGCTTCTTCTTCATCATCTGGGTGGCGATTGGCTCTGGGAGCCTGTTTCAGGCCACTGAGTTGGATGTCAGGGTGGCGCTGGGTGTTACCTGGGGTTTCAGTGCTATTTTTAGCTGTTCCGGGTGGTGGGGTTGAGGCGCTATCCCTCTGAGGGTAGCGCAACAGGGTTCTGGGGTTATTCAGTGAAAACGATGCTCTGAGTTTAATAAGCAGTTGTAATACTGTGTTTAGGTTGTCATCTCTTCATTGGTTTCTGGTTGTGATCACTCGGTTGTCTTCTATGAATGATTGTTGGGACCTGTGTGGAGAGAATTCACAGTTTGTGTGTTCTGTCACTTCGCTCCTCTGAGTCTTCCGCTGCGTTTCTTTCTGTTGGGTGGTGTGATTCTCCACTACCTCTCCCCTTCCTTCTGTGCATGTATGGGCGTGTACGGGAGTTCCTGTGAGTGAGTGTTGATAAAATTTCAACAGACAATCATGTTCATAATATCGGGGGTGTTTCGCCCCCGAGGCCTCTCCCCGTTCGCTGTACCTGACGCTCCCTTTTCATTACTGTTTGGTAGGAGTGCTCTGTTTTATGTGGACATAAGCTCGGCAATAATTGAGTCCAAATGCAGTGCACACTGTGCAGGCCAAAGTGTTCTGCGGTATCTTGTAGGCGTTAGGAGTGTTGAAGGCACTTGTGATTGCAGACTACGGGAATACTCCACAGTGTGCACTGCATTTGGACACTTTGGCAATAATGGAGTCCAAATGCAGTGCACACTGTGGAGGCCGAAGTGTTCTGGAACTCACTGCCAGCCACTGGTGCGATGTTTGTTGTAAGCTACGCTACCTTCTTCACCTGGATACAACGTACGTCGTACGGTCATTATAGCTGCATTTGGGGCAACTTTGAGTCTAGAATCTAGATACCGCAATAATGACCGTACTTTGTATTCGGGCGAAGACGGGCATGAAACTGCGCATTTTTTGTGACTGTATTCGTTTTTCATAAGGTGGATATTACCATCTCCTCTTCCCACAAATAGAACATATGGTCATTATATAGCTGTATTTGGGGCGATTTTGAGTCTAGATCATACTTGCTTGGGGCGATTTTGAGTCTAGATCATACTTGCGGCGCATCGCGATGCGCTGCACTGGGCACGTGCGCCGCACGGCGCTTCCCGCACGACGCGCGCGCACTGCATGCGGCGCACCTCCAAAAATGGGGGTCAAAAAAAAAAAAAAAAACTTGTGAGGGGCGGTAGTAGACCTGGCCCCCTGCTCGCGTAAAATAAGAAACGGGCAGCCAAATTTTTTTTGGAGGCCGCGCGTTGGCCTGAAAGCTTTTAGTAATCTGTAGTTCGGGTAACTCACTGTGTGTATGGTAGGGTTATTGCAGTCTGTATGGTAGGGTTCTTGCAGGCCAGATTCAGTCATGATGAGGGTCGCTATTTCTCAAAACGTTCTCTTGTTATTACTTCTGAAGTAGAAAACGACGGAACTGACAGCCGTTTTTCCTGGAATGTTCTGTTTTTTTTTGTTTTTTTTTTTAACGTAAAGGAAGAAAATCAGAATTTCTTTGCACGAGTGTCGCCCGGCACGTCCAACCTGTCAGAACCTCAACGGTAATTGCAGTCTGTATGGTAGGGTTCTTGCAGGCCAGATTCAGTCATGATGAGGGTCGCGATCTCTCAAAACGTTCTCTTCGTATTACTTCTGAAGTAGAAAACGGCGGAACTGGCAGCCGTTTTTCCTGGAATTTTTTTTTTTTAATAAAAAGAAAAAAACGCAAAGGAAGAACATCAGAATGGGCCTCGCCACACCACTCTCGAAATGTGAAAAAGGAAAAAATGTGGCGGGGGCATCTAGTCGTGTTCTAGCAGGAAGTTCATTCCCATTTTGCAAATTTCGAGAGTGGTGTGGTGATGCCCAATTTCTTTGCACGAGTGAAGCCCGGTGCGTCCAACCTGTCAGAACCTCAACGGTAATGTTTACCAACGGGCTCGCTGCACTACTCTCGACATGCACAACAAGACATATATGGCAATGTATCTTTCCATGTTCAAGCGGAGGATTCAGTCTCATTTGTTCAGAGATTCTCCAAAAAAAAAAAAAAAAAGGTTCCAGAGATACGTTACGCGCTTACCTGATTCATCGGCCCTTCGATCTCCACCACCCAACGTATGAATGAATCTTCCGCCAGAACATGGAAAGATACACCGCCATATTTTTTGTCCTTTGTGCATGTTGCCCCGCTTCCGGATTCATGTTGCCCGTTGATAAGGGCGGTTTGTTCGGTCCGATAGTGTCAGCACACGGTTTCCTCTCTGTCTCTCTCTCTCTCTCTCTCTCACACACACACACACACACACACACCGAAAAGAGGCATCGCGCACAGTGCGCACCTTGCAGGGGTAGCGCGTCCCCATGCGCTGCGCGCACAGCGCACCTCGTGCGCGTGCGGTGTCACCGCGCACATTCCGCACGGCGCAGCCCACCGCACTAATGCGCCGCAAGTATGGTCTAGATACTTGGAGAATGGCCGTATGTTCCATTCGGGTGAATGAGGTGGTGGAGATGGTTGCTCTCCTGCGTAATGGGAAAAAGAAGAGCAGCGTTGAAAACAGATCCAATGGAGTTGGTGGGAATGGTTTCAAAAAAGAATTCAAAGAGTCAACCTGAGGGTGAGAAGAAGTGGGACTGAAAAAAAAAAAGAAAAAAGGAAAAGTCTGACTGTGAAAAAAAAAAGGAAAGAAATAATGAGATAATTGTCAGATAATGTGCCTGTGTTTTAATCGGGTGTCGCCCTGTACTTCGTAAGTTCGTATTCTATTATTTCATATTTACCTAGGCTACCAGACTGGCCCGTGACCACTTGCCCGGCCGGGCCTAAACAAAATTAAAAACTAGTAATAATAATTTAAAATTTTATGGTAAATTTGGTAAAGAATTTCGATGTGAACCTGAGGCAAAAGTTGTTTAGTTTATTTTTCTGCATATCGTTTTCTTCTTTTTTCTTTTCTTTTTTTTGCTGGCACCTTCTACGGTCCTTGCACGACCAGTCCGTCCAGGCAAACAAGGTGACCCGGGCGGCCTGGCTTAAACAATTTCGACGTGGCCCTGAGGCAAAAGTTGTTCAGTGTATTTTTCTGCATCACATACTTTTTGTTTTTCGGATTTTCTTTTTTTTTTCCGCTGGGCCCTTCTGTGGTCCTTGCACGGCCGTGCCCCCCGGTCAAACAAGGTCACCTGGGTGGCCCAGCTGGTAGCCCAGCTGTTTAGTATTTAACATTTATTAAATTTCAAATTTACATCATTTACTGGTTGAATATTTTACTCTCCCCCCCCCCCCCCCCCCCCCCCCTCTAGCTTTTTTATTGGGTACTGTCCAGTATTTCAATCAGGAGTCTGAAAGTAATTTTCTGGGAATGTTGCAGTTGCCGACTTCAAACGCGACTTGTCTCGTCTTTTTGGGTCAACCCTGGATGGAATGCTGATGAACTGGCCATTGCTGAAACTTACTGTTCTCTCTCTTTCTCTCCGCCCGCTTCTCCCTCTCTCTCTCTCTCTCTCTCTGTCTCCTTCTGTGTTCCCTCCCTCCCCCACTCTCCCTCGCTCTCCCTTTTTATGTTATGCATCCCTCTGTCTTGCTCGCTTGGTCTCCGACACACAAATACGGGTCTTTGTGATGCGCTCTGGGAAAAGCTCGTTGCCAACATTTTACCTGAGGCTGAAACTAAAGCAGTTCCTTCTTCATCTGCATCTCCCTCGTCGTAATCATCGCTGTGAAGTTGCGCTGCCGGGTAAACTATGATGGGCTCAGATTCGCTGCCCATCTGGAGAAGATCGGGCGTGAGATTGTGCAGAAGGTACGAGGAGCCGAAGGACCTTTCATTGCATTGCATTTGAGGTGTGTAGTAC